GATAATGTTAAACTAACAAAGATTTCTTTTTACTAGCATATTAAAGATGAGCAAAATATTAAAATAGGGATTGCATCTATTAAAGGAAACTGATGGTTAGGTTTTTCTTGATGATTCTGAAATTGCTGAAATGTTTTCTTGTATTTGTACAATAGAAAATATTAGCATTATTCCTGACCCTAAGCATTCTGTGAGAGGTAATTGAATTAATGCGAACCATGGTGCTGGGTAGAGCAATTATGAGCTTAAAAACAGATAAAGCACTTGGAGCTTACAAGGCTTACTTCATTAAACTTTTGTATATTTCCAGCTTTATTGAGAATGTTGAGGTATTATAGAATCACTTAGATCATTTGATAAATCATACAGATAATTGTAAATTACTTTTAATTATAGTAAGTGCAAGGTAATATATTTAAGTTATTATAATATGGATCACAAGTGTAATATAGATGAGAATTTGCTTTGTTGCATAACTGAAGGAAAGAATGTTTGCATAGTGGTAAATGAATCACTCAAGCCATCAAAGCTCTGTTGCTAGTGGTAAAGATAATAGAATTTTAAGGTGTATTTATAGACATTACGATATGAATCACCAGTCTGGCCTTACTTGGAATACTTTGTTGTGATTGATTTACTTATCTATGAAAGATCACTAACTTATTTAAAAGGGTTAAGAAGAGGGCCATTAGGATGATTTCAGGGTAATAGGTTATCTATTAGTTTATTTTCTCTTGAGAAAAGAAAGATAAGATGTGATCTTATTCAAGTTTACAAGATTACACTGATTTCTTTAAGCTTTATTCAGAAGATAACAGGACGTGAAGATACAAATTTAAGATTTGGAAATGACAGGCTAGGCTCCTGCTAAGATAGTTCCTATACAATATCTTACCTGCTCTAACAAAATAGCATTTTTCAACTAGCACTGCCCTCTATTGACACAAATTTTCAATACACATCACTGGCCTTCCACCTCCCATTTCAGCATATCCACATGCAAATTATCAGGCAGCAGGTCTCCACCAATAGCAGCATGACACCACTCCTATTGTAACCAGCACTCTCTTTTTACATCTACATTCGTTAACCACTTCTCGATTGGCAGTGGTACTGTACAGACATGCTACTCGTAGATTTGTTGACATTTTCTGTTATACTACTGATGTAGTTTTTATTTACTATTTATTTAAATTTTCACATTTTGGTATTATTTTCAGGAGTCTTTTGCTATTTTTGCAATGTATATATATATATATATATATATTGTGGATCCTACTCTGTGGCAAGTGGTGCCTTATCAAGTATACTTTTTTTTTGAAAATCTGCACTGTCAATCCTGTGACCATGCTCAATGTCAATTACGTTGTAGCTCTTCTTACCATGGATCTGATGTACAATTCCAAATGCTGCTAGGTGTTGGATGTTTGTCTCTGTTTTATTGTTATCTCTGACTAAACAATTATGTCGCAGGTTTGGGTTATGCACACTATAGAGATGGGATGTTGTGTAGGATTGCTAGTAGTTCTCTCTAGTGGTTTTTGCTTCATAAATATGTTCTTCCCAGATTGTACACTTAAGGACTAACATGAGTAAAGGAGACAGAGATTGCTGCCCATCTCTGCTGCTCCATGGTGTTGAGTCTCTTCCTACCGCAGACCTGATGTACAATTCCAGATGCCACCTGGTTTTGGTTAATCGACTCCATTGACACGGTAACTCTGCTTTTCAAAGTAGGGTATTGCAGTCATCAGTTGCACTGTCTCTGGTGATGCAGTTCTCCAGACTCTCCACTATATCCCCCCCCCTGCTTCTAGTGGAGTATGGGAGTCCTTACCAGTTCCTAGTTGCTGGAGTGATGGATGAGAGTTGAGAGTTGGGCTGTGTCATTCTGCAGATGTTGCTGGCATATAGCACTTTCTACCAAGGAAATGATGTACAATTCAAAATGCTACCAGATTTTGGTTGTAGCACTGTGCTGTATTCCTGTCTATATATCTGACTAATTGTCTTTTCAGTTGTGGTATTCCTCTCTATCATCTTCCAGATGTACATTCTCATTGGGTTTGGTTTTGGTTGGAGATGGCCCAGTCACAATTAGTATCATGTGTAGATGGCATGAAGGCTTCTTACTGCGTACCTAATATGTACAATTCCAGATGCTGGCAAGTTTTGGTTGAAGCACTCCGCTATGTCATGAAGATATATATATAATTGCAATTTGCTCCCACAGGCTAAGATGTTCCTGCAAAGTAAGTCCTCACATGTGTACTGACCAGTATCCCTCCTCCTACCACAGACTGAATGACAAATGCCCACTGCTGCCAGGTTTTGAACTGGAGATGCACACCAGGTTTATGGTCCCTCTTCCTACCATCTGCTAGATGTCAGTTCCCTGTAGATCTGGTGTTGGTTGTAGCTGGACGCAGCACATTTTCCTGCTTCTGTATGGCCAGATATCCTCCTCCTATCATGGACTAGAAGTACTACACCCATTGCCATCAGATTTGGGACTGAAGACGTCATCCTGCCGGGGTTTTCACCTTCCTACCATCTGCTGAATGTCAGTTTCTGGTGGATCTGGTGTTGGTTGTGTTGGAAATGCATGCAAGTGGTGATGGATTTTAATATGGAAGTTTGTCTTCCCAATCATTTCCCATTTCAAGGTGAAGAAGTAGGTGATTTCCTACCTACCATTGGACTATAGCTTTATAGTGTCAAAAGAAGGTGCAACCTGTTGTGAAGGCAACATTTTATCATTGAATTAAAAACATGTGTACAAAATAAACTAGTAATCATTCTTTCTCTTGTTATTTTGATACTCAGGGTTAAAATTGATTTAATAATATAGTTTTCCATATTTAACTATCTACATGAAATGTTCAGTTTTATGTTGATTTCAACATGCTCCAAATGGAAAAATGAGTGTTTGTGAATTTTCTGAGCATAATAAGGTACTCACATCCCCTGTAAGAAAGTCAAAATAGTTTTTGACAAAATAGCACTAATTTGGACCTTGTAACTTCAACACAAGTTTGGTTTCACTAGTTTTAGCCAATCAGTGGTTCCACTCTAGGGGAAACTTACTAACAGATTGGAACAAAGTGATAAAATCATAACTTTGAGATATTTTGCCAAGAGAAAAAATATTTGTAATAACTCCTACCACAATTACATTACTAATTTTATTTCATTTTTTTGAAAGCATGATTTATCATTTTATACTTTAGTCCATTTATGAAGTTGCAGTATGATAGGAAAATAAATGATCTTCGTGGAACATGATGAGATAGGTTTAGTTAGTTATTTTGCACTAATCTGTATCAAGTTTTGTTTTGCTGATAAGGCTTCTGTTTATTAGGTTGTGTTTATATTAGGCCTTGCTCCTGCTGATAGTTGTAAAGAAATTCTTCATATGCAGTACAAACTAAGATACAATAGAACTATCCAAAGAAGCAGTAGGTAAATTCTGACTTTACTATGGAAAATAACAACTCTGGCTGAATTTAACAAATAATCTCAAACAGATGTGAGATGTTCTAAATTTGATTTTCAAAAAACTCTCCAATTTTGGAGATATGAAATACGCATGTTATGAGAGAGTGAGATATGTAGTATTTGCGTACTACACCACTAAGCCAAATTTTACCAAAAATTGTAGCTTTACCAGTAACTCATTAAAGTTCAATTCTGGCCCACTTACATCACTTGTATTTTGTTGTCATATTTTATATGTCATGCCTTATGAAGTAAAATACTTATATTTTGATATTTTATTTGATGATGTTTGTTTTTTCAAAGTGATTGTATTATTTTATGATGCTTTGATCGAATCGTTGCATGATCATTCAAATGCTTTTATTTTTGTACTCTATGCTTAGATGTCAAGAGCAGTATTATTACAGTATTACTTTCTGTCTCTGGGTAATGGTTAGATGTAGCTCAATTATAGGAGTTAAAATTTTTGAACATTCAATTCTGTTAGTACGTATGTTAATGACTTATCCATCTTTTTGAAGGTTCTCATCAATGAAACTATTAATTGGATATGTAACATTAATTGAGTAAGCATAAAGTTGGTTTATGGTTAGTAAAGCATTGGTACAAGAATACAAGGTGTATCGATTTCTGCCATATATATATATATATATATATATATATATGTAGTTAGTATAAATAAACATAGTTTAATTTACTTAACTAAGAACTACATAGACTCTCCACTATACCTCCCCCCCCCTCCGCTTCTAGTGGAGTAGTGGAGTCCTTACCTAC